AGTGAACAATTGTAATGTTTTCTTCCATGCGGAGTAACATCTTAACAGCTCTGAAACAGCTTAAACTACAATAACACACTTTTAACATTTACTAAATAATCCGATGTTTATTGTATCGCGTTTTAAAACGGTAGATAAACAAAATATATTAAAAACTCATCTTGTGAAAAAAAAAAGATAAATAAAATAAGAGATGTGTCGAAGTTGTCTTGAATGTACTCAAAATATAAATGTTACTTATTTTCCTTTGGCTGGACAGGTTTTCAAATCTGCGACTACCCAATGACAGATTAGGTTTAGGAAAGGCAGTAGAGAAGGGTGGAACACCTAACTGAGATATCCCAGTCATATTTAAAAGAGCCACGTTTAAAGAGAAACTGTCGCTATCAAACTCACTTTCAGATACAAGGAAACTGGGACAATTCAATATTTTTACTATTTTTGATCGGGACAAATAAGGTTAAAAACTGGGACGTCTGGTAACCCTAAAGATGTATTATAATAGAGGGGAATTTCAGTTTTCTTCTGGTTTGCAGCTCATTTAAGCGAAGTGGAAACGCAAACTGTCAAAGTTTTAAATTAGTAAATACTAAATACAATACATTAAAACTACCTGGGTTAGTTATTATATTACAGTTATTGCCAGGATAAATAGAGAACAGTGTATGAAATCCAAGTTTCTGGTGGAATATGCATACCATGTCATTAAAGTCTTAACAAAAGTTTAACTTCTTTCGTTTTAGCCCATTTGTACGCAATGAACACCAGATGAAGTACAACGTTTCTATCCCCTATTTTCGCACACGTTTAAGACAGGTCCATTTGAAACGACGTGGGAACGCTCCACTTGGCTTTACCATAAGGGGTGGTAAGTTTTATTTAGTTTTATGTGATGAGTTATAAAGATTATTAGGTAAGATAAATATACGTGCATATCTTACATTAATCACGTTAAAGTGATCAAGGAATTATCACTAGTGTTCACTATCATGGATAGTAATTTAATTTACTTTTGCGTGACGAATTACAAAATCTTATAAAATATTTTCACCAACATTCAAAATGAACCAGTTCTACAAATAACTTATGTTCCCATAGCTTTCAGAATAGGGATGGTGGGCTATAATTTATAATACAAAAAAAGACCTTGATAGCAGTGTTTTCGAAGGTGATGCCATAGCATACAATCTACACAAGCTTATAGTTGGAAATTATGTATAACAGTACTGTTGTATATGTTTCCATTTCACAATAAATTAAAATGAACAAATATACACTACAGTGCTATAAATGTATTTAATTACAGGTATCAGAGATCCAGTTGTATACACATATATATATTATTATTACACATTTCATTGTATTTTATCCATGTTAGATCACCAGATTTGTTACATAAATTTGTTGATATCTATCTTGTAATACTATCAATGTTGTTGCTTTTCTAAGTTTATAAGAGTTTTGATTATTAATATTTGGAAGATATATTTTTTATAATAGTTTTTTTTTATATAAATATCTAGCCCTATTAGTTTTACTTCACCCATTTTGTTTTAATGGATTGCACTAAATTATGACTTTACCAATTTTGTTTTTTTAGATTAAACATTTACCGAATAAAATGAGTGTTTTTTGTTTTTTCTTGGGATCAGATTCAGGTTTAGAGTCACTGTTAACATTCGGTTAATTTAAGGGATTCAGGTTTAGAGTCACTATTGTTGCGTCAGCGAGGTCACGTGACTAGTATCA